AATATATATATATATATATATATATATATATATGTATATTGATATACACATATAGGTTATCATGCAAAGTAGCATATCTCATATTTTGATGTTGGTGGCAAAGTCAAACTCGGCACTTTGTTGCAAATAAATTATAAATTTCTTGCTGTCGAAGACATTTCTTTCTTACATATTGAGCTATACTTGGCTTAAGATAATATCATATTATGTTGAGCAAAGTTTTTTTATAAGATAAGTAAATGGTTCAATATCATTGAAATTAAAACTTAATGAAAATCATATAGGGTTGCGATGCCTCGGTACTTTTAGACGACACACCGAGCTTCACAGGAGAAAAGACAGCTGGTCCTAACAACAACTCATTGAGAGGTTTTGATGTCATTGATGAGATAAAAGCTGCGGTTAATTTGGCATGTTTGGGGAATGTAGTTTCATGTGCAGATATTCTTGCCGTCGCCGCTCGTGATTCTATTGTTGCGGTAAGTTTATTTTTTACTATTTAAGCAATTGAAATTATGGTTAATAAATTAACTTAAGCAGACACTCTTGCTATTATTTTAATAATTGTTATACATAAAAAAACTGTTAATTATTTAATCTAATAAAAAATACATTTTTTTTCTTATTGAAAGAAAATTATTTTGTCATGCATACTTTCTTTTTTTAAATGTATCATATAGAAAATGTTGTCTCTATCATTTTATCATACCCTTTTCCAAGTAAGATTTAGCTCTTCTGACCAATTTTTGATAAAAAAATATCATATCTGATGTACATACAAAAGATCCCAAGGCTTAAAGTCACATGCCATTTTAAAATTAAGAGAATAATGTGCCAAGGGATCTAAGCAAAGATTGATGAAATGAATTCTTCAACCATTAGATTTATTTTGAGATAAGAGATACATGTATTTAATCAAATTAAATTCTATTTGAAAAAATCCATAAATTCAGGGGACTAGTTGTGATAAAAATTTGGATCAGGATACTATTACCATTTTATTTTGTAGAATTTACATACATACCAAACAATTCTTATGCTTCACATATGTAAAGCCTATAATTTCATAGATAAAGCAAAAAAATGTTTAAGATTACGCAGAAGTATCACTATTATAAACTTTCTAAGAGTAAACTACACCTATCATGAATAGATATATGACACCAAAATGTTTAAAATGTAATTTTCAAACCCTAGCAAATGGATTCGGAAGTGCATAGCAATTGTGTATTATGTACGTAAATTTGTCTATAACTCATATGTTTTTAGATATCTGACATACAAGCTTTTTCATTAATTTATATGTTAATAATATATAAATCACAGCAAAAAATATCCATAAGAAAGATGTATGTCACTGCTGATATTTGTATGTCATTTAGTATTTTGGATATTATATAAATCAATGACGTAAAAGTTTAGTTGTAAGAAATGTAAATACATAAGAATGTTATGATGGAAAAAATATTACATCAGTACTACGCACGTTGTAAAAGTTTAGTTGTAAGAAATGTAAATAAATAAGAATGTTATGATGCGTATTTTAGTTCTTTTTTTCTTTAGAACGCACTAATGAAAATTTGGAACCACATTTCATTTCCACATATTCAGTACTGCTTAATATTTAACGGTAGATTAGATGATTTTCTTTTGGTGATTACATATAATGACTTATGGTGCTTATGATGCGTATTTTAGCTCTTTTTTCTTTAGAACGCACTAATGAAAATTTGGAACCACATTTAATTTCCACATATTCAGTACTGCTTAATATTTAACGGTAGATTAAATGATTTTCTTTTGGTGATTACATATAATGACTTATGGTGCCTTCTTCCATCTTGGCAAGTCAAATTTCGATTAATTTCTTTCAGATTAAAGAATTGAAATTTAGTCGTATTAGTTGAAATTCATAAATACGCAAAGCTCTGTTTTAACAACCAAAAATTGAACGAACCACTAAAAAAAAAGTAATTTTAAAATTTCTGCTATCTTAATGACTTGAAAATATTAACAAAACTAAACTTGATACAGAACAGAACATGTCGAATCTGTTATAAACTTTTTTTATCCTTAAAATTTTTGGGAACTTCTATATTTCTTCTTATAAACTAAAAATATAATGCAAGCAAAAGCACTTGATTCCCATTGGTAGATCTGCACGAATCGCATCCAATTAGAAAGCAAGAGATGGTACATATTAAAAACCTGGATTTTTGGCTGCATGAAAAAGGATGAGAAATACTTTCAAAACAAGAAATAAAAAGTGAGAGGCATCTAGGCGTAGTTAAAATTAAAGAAAACATAAAAATGGAGAGCATCTATTTCAAGATGGCTCAAAGCCATTTAAGAGGAAGTTAATACTTTTCAGATGCTAGAATTGATAGTACATCAATGAACAAACGTTCTGAAGGACCATTTCGGATGAATCCATATGTCAAAAAATATGTGCTTTCTATAGGTCTAATATAAACAAAAAACAATATAAAAAATTTAATTTGAAATGGGCAAATGAGGCATTATTTTTTCGAAAATAAAATTCAGCAAGGCCACAGTTAAAACGCTGGTTGTATTTATAACTAACTTTGTTTTTAAACATTGGACTAATATAATTAATATTTTAATCAATAAATTAATTTAATAGATTAGAACCTTAAAAGGTAATAAAATAGCAAATATGTCAATATATTATTGATTTGAAAATACCAATGTTTCGTGGTCTTTATGTAATATCTCTATATTATATTGGGTATTTTACATTATCTCTAACTAAAATATATTCATTCTTTCATATCTCTAACAATAATATATGATGTTTGTCAATCATTTCTAAAGAAAATAATTATAGTTTTTTTTTTTAATATTCATATATTTTTTTTAAACTTTCTTTAAAATTGGCAATTTCATCTTCAAAATTCTTAAATTACAAAAAACAGAAAATACTGAGGATAATCTTTTTCCAAAATTTCATATAAATTTTATTTACACTAAATGTTTTTCCATTTGATTTGAAACCATTTTTATTAAACAATAAAGTAAAAGATAACTAATCAAAAGCCGATAATTTAAAGTTTTTACTATCATATACAGCAATTTCAAAGAAACTTTATTAAAAAAAGGGCGCTTACATTCATGCCACTCAAATTTTCTATATAATTTACATATCTTACTTGTAAAGTTTTATATTTACTTGACACTTTAAGAGCCTGTTTGGGGTAAACTTTGTTTTGGCAGCTTATGCGTTTTAAAAACGCAAAAAATATCGTTTTCACCCTGCACTTATCTAGGTGCGGTGGGAGCTTATTGGCAATGGTCTGGGTTTTCCAAAAAAATAAAAATTTGTAATAGTCACCGCATCTAACTTATTAACAAATTATTTTTAATCAGCACATTATTCAATAAATTACAATTGCTCCAAATAGACCCTAAATCACAACTATTTACATTCATTTCACAACGTGAAATACACAAGTTTTTGTCACCAAAATATTCTGAATATAAGTAATAACAATTATGCATAAACAACAACAGTTAGGCGGAGCACCTTACAACGTCCTACTTGGCCGTCGCGACGCCACCACCGCAAGTTTTGACGCGGCCAACAACGACCTTCCTGCACCCATATTCGACCTACCCTACCTCATCTCCAAGTTCGAATCCCACAACCTCAGCCTCCAGGACCTCGTCGCCCTCTCCGGCGCCCACTCCCTCGGCTTCGCCCGCTGCACCACCTTCCGATCCCGCATCTACAACGAAAGCTCCACCATCGACCATTCCTTCGCCCAATACTTACGAGCCCAGTGCCCGGCTTTCGGCGGCGAAGGCGACGACATTCTGGCACCGTTAGACGACTCCCCCGCCCGCTTCGACACAGAGTACTTCGACGGCTTGCGGCTGAATCGGGGGATTTTGCATTCGGACCAGCAGTTATTTAGGGGAGATGGGGGTGAGGCGGACTCGCTTGTGAGACATTACAGTGAGCAGAGGGAAGTATTTTGGGCGGATTTTGGGGCTTCCATGGTTAAGATGGGGAATTTGAGTCCGCTTTTAGGGAGTGAGGGGGAGATTAGGGAGAATTGTAGGCATGTGAATGTTGGCAGTTAATTGGGTTTGGAGTGCACTTATTGCTTGTGTTGGAATTGAGTTGATTATATATCCATGTTTTCGAAGCTTTATTACAAGAGAAATGCCTGCGATATGTACATGACATCAATATACACCAAATATTTTTACTCATTACTAGTTTCAAAAATAAAAAAAAAACAGAGAAAAAAAGTTTAGTGCTGTGCTTGTACATGAATGATACAAAAAAAAAAGGAATTTCATCAGTTGTTCGTTGATATTCCCACATGTTCCGCCTGTGAAGGATTAACAGAGCGCAGGCCAAGTTAAGCTGAGAACAAGCCGGTCAAATGAAATGAATATCTGCAAATAAAGAAGTTAATAAGTATTGAAGTAATTAAATTTAGATTGTAATATTATACAATCCTTCATTCTACCGATAAGATGATTTCAGAGGATCACATTGTAAATTAAGCCAAAAATCAAAGAAATAGCAATTGAAGATTAAACAAATGTTGGAGAAAAAACACATATGCATGAAAACTAGCAACAGGTTGGAAATCATAAATGAATAAATGAGGTGACCAGCATTATACGCGAACCAAAAACAGAAAAGTTTGAAAATAAGCATCAGATGCTTGCCTAACCCATGAAATGAGTTGGGAGTGAAAACCAACAACAAGCAGGCATGACAATCCCAACAGACTTGCTGAAATTCAGAATGATGCGAAATAAAGTGGAATATAAAATTGTTTCATTGATATAAACGGTGGTATAAATAATCCTTGCAAGAATCCTATAATAAGAAAAATAATAAAAAAGAAATGATATGAAAGGAAATATGTATCACTTAATATCTCCAATAAGCAAGTCATATTAATTATTAGGAGAAATAGGAAATAACATGAAATAGGAAAAGAAATAATTCTTAATTAAATGAAATAAATATAAAATTGGAAAGGAAATGTCTCCTTATATTAAGGAAATAATTTATTCCTCATAACTTCTTATATGAATAAATTATTTCATATTATAATTCTTAACCTGGATTGTGCGTTAATAATTCTTAACTTGCTGAGTAGTGAAGAAAATTGGATTGTGCGTTGATAATTCTTAACTTGCTGAGTAGTGAAGAAAAAATGGTCGATTGGTTTATCGAATTTGCTAGATTTAGGCTTGACAGAATTTGGAGTTTTGGCTGTCATATGTTTCGGCGTAGAAGAGAGATTATTGGTTTATCGAATTTGCTAGATTCAGGCTTGACAAAATTTGGAGATTTGGCTGTCATATGTTTCGGCGTAGAAGAGAGATTAAGGCTTGGCTGAATTTTGAGTTTTGTCTACCATATGTTTCGACGTAGAAGAGAAATTCAGGTTTGGCTGAATTTGCTGGATTCAGACTTGGCTGATTTTTATGTTTTGTAAAAAAAGAGACAATCTATAGGAAAACCGACTTTTAGTTGACCGCGGTTGTCATTAGCTGCAGAAAAAAACATGTAAATCACACCCAGTAAATTCTGCTGACAGAGAAAATAGCAGAAGAAAGGGAGGCTAGAAGCAGAGCTCCCCCTTGACGCTTGGGTCAGGGAAGAAAAAAAATATTATAGGAGCTATTACTTGCTGTGGATTTTGCTGGTATTGTTCATTCCATGACAGCGATATCTCCGGCATGATGATGATGAGGCGGGTGGTTGCATCGCTAGTGTCGCCCTAGCTGGAGCCCCATCTCCGGTGCCGACATAATAAGATCAGAAAAGTTAGGAGTGTGATGCAGATGATTCCTCTCCATCATTAGCTGCGGTATGCTGCCTGGAGGAGTCTTTGATCGCAATCTAGCCTGCAAGATATTAGCCGCATTGGTAGGCGGAGATGGAGTAGGAGACGCTGAGAACAAAGACGAGAGCCGATATTCCTCAAAACTATAACTACCCTTCTTATGACCAAATCTGTATCCATTGAAATCTCTTCGTGGAACACGATTAATGGGTGAAATTGATAGCTTGAGTGAAAAATTATGATGCAGAGGGGAGCTAACATAGCCCTTGTGAGGGTTGCGACTCGATCTGGAGGGGGGCTAACATAGCCCTTGTGAGGGTTACGACTCGATCTATATGGTTCATCATATTAATACTTGTGACAGTTGTTATAGTAAGTTCATCGTGCAAAATTCAAATTTTCACACGATGAATTCTGACATATCCAGTCACCTTCCCTTGGTGACAAATTTGGATCATTTCTGTGGATGAACTCTCCTCTATACGAGGGCATTATTTGTGTAGTTGAATCGATCCCTCTCGTGTATGGTCTGTTGCCACCTCAAAGGTAGGGGTGAGAAGTTGCAAAACCTGCCACCTTTTCCTCTCCCTTACATTCCACGACCTGAAAATGGTCTGCGAGGGTGCCAAAAATCTGGTTCAAAATAAACATCATCCACCTTCGAGACTGTGAAGTAGAACTTGAATGTTGTATGTGCCCTGGATCATTCTGAAACCTTCAAGACCGTGGATGGAGTGCCAAATGGGACCCGCAATGTCGAAGACCAATAGCAGAACCATGACACTGTAGACCATGCTGGGGCGCACGGTGGCGGAAATTCGTCAGGAGACCTCCGGCGATGCAACGACAAGTAGCCCCCATGACGTTTTCTAGACGATGGAGAATCACAGAGATGAACATCTATTGAAGAAATAAGTCAGCGCTAATGCTGTGGGGAACCGTGATGGCAATCATCGACATCATATTCGATGTCAAGATTGTTCCCTCCACCATTGCTGGCTGCAGGCTTGATGACCATGCTACTGAGGTTGACGTCGATGGGCAGATCGGGAGACGGCAATAGGGATAGAGCCTCTAGTTCAGACTCTGAGGCAGCATCGAGATCAAACTCATGGGAGCACATCTTTGTTATTCTTTCCATGGCTTCCGTAACCTAACGAGGCGGTGGAGAATTAGGGATTTGGAGAAGAAGAAAAAATCATAATTTTAAATATCAAGATGAGTGTCCCTCCCTTCGTGCATAGAAGATGGCAGGAAGGGAGTCCAACAATTTTCAAAGGAGGGCCAGTGGATAGGGTATGAAACCTTGCTCTGATACCATGTTGAAATTTAGAATAATACGGAATAAGTGGAACACAAAATTGTTTCATTGATATGAACAGGGGTATAAATAACTCTTACAAAAATTCTATAATAGGAAAAATAATAAAAAAGGAAATGATATGAAAAGAAAGATATATCACCTAATATCTCCAATAATCAATTCATATTAATAATTAGGAGATATAGGAAATAACATAAAATAAGAAAATAAATAATTCATAATCAAAGAAAATAAATAAAAAATAGGAAAGGAAATATCTCCTTATATTAAGGAAATAATTTATTCCTCATAACTTCTTATAGGAATATATTATTTCCTATTATAATGCTTAACAATAAGCATAAGGTGCTTGCCTAATCGATGAAATGAGTTGGAGTGAAAACCAACAACAAGGAGACATCGACAATCCCAACAGACGGCTCAACAAATCATTTCTAACTGTAGTCTTTATAGTTTCTCTATTCTACCAGTGTACCAAACTATCTAAAAGCTTCTAAATATTCTATAAATACCTGCTACCTCTAGCCTTTGTTATGTTGAATAGAAAGCCAAATATGGAATGCTAAATTGAATCTTTTTGAATGTCTAATCCTTTAAATTATCTTCTATAATGTTCTTTTGTTCCCAGCATATTTTGCTGCTTCAATACTTCTTTATTGTTATTAGAGCTACATCATCATCGCTCAAATCCATGACTCGATCACTTCAGATATTAATGAAGGATTAATATCACTCAAAATTGAGCAATATTCAAAGCCATATTTTCTGAAGTTCCTGAACACAAACATCAAATCTACGATTAATACATCCTCTATCCACAGAAGTTCTGAAAGTCATAAAGACCACAGGGTTTTGTGGCGTCATAAATGGATCTATCCCAAAACCTCCATATATCATGACAAACAACGCTGGAATGGTAATACCCAAGCCAACATGATGCTAACTAATCAAAACATGGCCACCTCAAATTTCTCAACTGCATTATGATCAATCTTGAAAGTTGCTATGAGATTTAGGGAACACTAGAAAAATGCCTTCGAGCAACTAATCATTCGAGGTTGATTCAACTAAAAAATAAACTACACAATGCATCTATGAGTAACTAAACCATGACACAATATCCCACTTAATACAACAGGATCATCCATAGACACTAAAGATATCATTTTCTACACCTTTAAAGGACTCCTGCCTATAAATAAAACATTTAAAACTATAATTAGAACTACCCTTACACCACTTAGTCCTGAAGAGATATATTCATTACTCCACAATGTGGATATCAATATATCTAACTATAATTCAACCAATATACAATAACCTGTCAATCTCATTGCTCTGTATTCTTAGCGAGGAAGAGATCGCAACAACTGTATTGGCAAGGGCAGCACCAATAACTCTTTCAGTCACTCATAATTCAAGTATAGAAGCTGTCCAAAAATACCAACCCCATTATTTATCATATCTACAACAAGAAAAAACACATTTCACCTCAATGGTGGCATTGTATGAATCTCAACTATCAACCCAACAAAACCATTGATCATATATTATTCTTGACATTTTCTAACTCGGATTAGAACTGGTAAATAGATACCATGGGGGTGGATGATATTTTTGTTGCATAGATCTCGGAAGATTTCTATCTAAATAACTAGTTGCTTCATTTGAAGGATAATATAATACACCAAAAAATAAAAATATTACCTTAAAATTGATCTAATAATTCAATTGAGAAAAACCTTAAAGATTTATGGGACTACAAAACCATGGAATTTTTCTCTGCCTTATAGGGTAAAGATAAGATTTATATTATTATGTGGTTTGGTATCCCTATGAGAAGAAACCCTCACAGTTAATTATATCTTAGTTATAGCTCCTAAGAATACTTTTGATTGAAATTTTGGTTTATGTTATACATAATTATCTGGTAATTGTCTAAGAGATTGATTTTTTGGGCTCTTAATGATAAACTCGAGGTTTTAAGAAGAATTGAGTGGAATTAAAGGTTGAGACATTCAATTTAATGATGATGTGTCATGAAAATGTCCAATAAAATATGGTTAGCTAACTCTGGAAGCACAACTTATGGATTTGAAATTGATGAGTTTGTTGT